TTAAATACCAATTTTAAAATGTATTATAACTGAAACGGAAGTACACAATTTTCTCACTGTAAGAGCAAAGTCTGTGACCAACATGGCCTGCACGACTGTTTGGTCTAAAAGTGCTAACTGGTGCTTGGAAACACTGCAGCACTTGCTCCACCTGCCTCCTTTTGATTGCTCTGGATGTTTAAACTTAGATTAAGCCCTTCCAATAGAAGGTTGTCTCCTATAACCTAGGCCAGTGGTGGTGAACCTTTTTGGGCTTGGGTGCCCAAACTGTGGGGAAAAAACAGTGGGTGGTGTGCCGCCACCGCGACAGCACCGGAAGTGCTGACCTGGAACCGGAAGTGGCGGCAGAAGGGGGAATCCCGGGATGGAGGGGCTTCAAGGCCCCTCCACTGTCAGCACCAGTTGCTCCGCATCCACCTGCTGAAGTGCCAGCACCGGCTGCAGCTGCCTCCTGAGGTTTCGCTGTGCAGGGGGGAGTAGTAGTAGCTATCTGGCAACCTACGGCTTGCGTGCCAGAAGAAAGGGCTCCACGTGCCAGCGGTGGCACATGTGCCATATGTTCGCCATCGCTGACCTAAGCCATATGGTTGCTATTCCTATACTGCCTGGTCCTTCATTGCTGGGATACCAGGTTGTGGGCAGTGTTTCCAAGTAAAGAAGAATGCAAAGTAAGATGGACTTTTATTGTTTGTTTGTTCAGTCGTCTAGTCGTGTCCGACTCTTCGTGACCCCATGGACCAGAGCACGCCAGGCCCTCCTATCTTCCACCGCCTCCCGGAGTTGTGTCAAATTCATGTTGGTTGCTTCGATGACACTGTCCAACCATCTCATCCTCGGTCGTCCCCTTCTCCTCTTGCCTTCACACTTTCCCAACATCAAAGTCTTTTCCAAGGAGTCTTCTCTTCTCATGAGATGCCCAAAGTACTGGAGCCTCAGCTTCAGGATCTGTCCTTCCAATGAGCACTCAGGGTTGATTTCCTTTAGAATTGATAGGTTTGTTCTCTTTGCAGTCCAGGGAACTCTCAAGAGTCTCCTCCAGCACCACAATTCAAAGGCATCAATTCTTCGGCGGTCAGCTCTCACTTCCATACAACACTACAGGAAAAACCATAGCTTTGACTATTCGGACTTTTGTTGGCAAGGTGATGTCTCTACTTTTTAAGATGCTGTCAAGGTTTGTCATTGCTTTCCTCCCGAGAAGCAGGCGTCTTTTAATTTCGGGGCTGCTGTCTCCATCTGCAGTGATCATGGAGCCCAGGAAAGTAAAATCTGTCACTGCCTCCATATCTTCCCCTTCTATTTCCCAGGAGGTGATGGGACCAGTAGCCATGATCTTAGTTTTTTTGATGTTGAGTTTCAGACCGTTTTTTGCACTCTCGTCTTTCACCCTCATTATAAGGTTCTTTAGTTCCTCCTCACTTTCTGCGATCAGAGTGGTATCATCTGCATATCGGAGGTTGTTGATATTTCTTCCGGCAATCTTAATTCCAGTTTGGGATTCCTCCAGTCCAGCCTTCCGCATGATGTATTCTGCATATAAGTTAAATAAGCAGGGTGACAATATACAGCCTTGTCGTACTCCTTTTCCAATTTTGAACCAATCCGTTGTTCCATATCCAGTTCTAACTGTTGCTTCCTGTCCCACATATAGGTTTCTCAGGAGATGGATAAGGTGGTCAGGCACGCCCATTTCTTTTATTAACCAGCGGCTATTACAGGTAGACTAGATATAGCAAGATGTTATTCACAAGGCCTATAACTAGTCTTGTCCCTCAGGTCACAAATCTGTCAGTAAGACGAGTTTGCAGCACTGGGTCCTGGAAAAATTTGGTTTGCCTATTTGAAACCAGCTATGAGGATAATCATTTTTCCCCAGTCCATCCTTACCTCTCTTTTAGCCTTCATACGCCAGTATTAAAGAATGCTGTAAGTTCTGGGATACTTTCTGAGTCCTGTGAAAATTCTAATGTTACACAAATGTCTTGCATTCAAAGGAATATTTGTGCGTGCAGAATCAAGTGTGTGCCAACCAAACACCAAGGAGTCAAAAAGTCAAGGTGGAATAGAAGTAAAATTATATTATATAAAATTCATTGCCCCTACCCCCAATTAACTGAATAGCAAAAATCAACAGATTGGTAGGGACTTTTTATCTCCCAGCATTCATTCATTCATTCATTCATTCATTCATTCATTCATTCATTCATTCAATCAATCAATCAATGGGGGAGACATTCAGGGCGGGAATGCAGCAGCTGTGTTGTAGCACAGATTATGTATGACAAAGGGACATGAAGTACTTTGTGCTCATTTCTACTCTTCTCAAAAACAATGGATTTTCAATATAACACTATAATATTCATCTACTACACAGCAAGCTATGTATATATTAAACAGTAAGAAAATAAATAAAATCTGCAGAAATATTTTTATGTATATATATTATCGCAACACCCCTCTATTATGTATAGACTATTTATGGCTTTTACTTTAGGCTAAATAGCTTTAGAAATATATTGTCTTTATATTTAAGAGACATCAAGGGCCACCTCTTTCCACTTTGTAAAACAGTCACACAATTTTAAACCAGCAAAAAGGTGGACGAAATCATTAAATATATTATTATCATGCTACCATATTAAAAAGGAATCAATGCTAGTGCTAAAGATAACAATACAGTGTGTGCTGAGAAAGTTATTAATCTTACAGGAGACTTTTATGCCTCAGATACACTAAGAGACATATCCTTGGATTAAACTTCCATCAGCAGATCAGTGTTTTTCATCAGTCTTTCATTAACACATAACTTAGAAAATAATCTGTTCAGATACTATTAAAGGGTTTTCTGTCTTCTGAAAAGAAATCCAACATAATAAATTACTCCAAGGGGTGGGGTGGGGATCTGATAATAAAAATCCAAAGACCTTAAGACAACAATGACTTTCAATTAACTTTATATTCAAAAGATATAGAAATAACTATATTAGTCTTCATAATTATTGTCTATCTGACAACAAACAGAATAAATTAATTTCCTTAAGAAAGGCTATGTGAGAATTTTGAAGGCTATTCTTTGCTACTCGAGTTGCAGGCAAATATTCAGCATTCCATTCTTCTTATTTCACCAAGCAAATTATCCCCCATCACATATTCTACCATTCTGTTGCCATGCAGTGTTCTAGTTCTGTGCACTGAATATTCTGCTAAGTAGGCTGTTCTGTCCCATCACCAGAATATACAGTGGTGCCCCGCATGACGATGATAATCCGTTCCATAGAAATCGCTGTTTAGCGAAATCATAGTCATGTGAAATCCGATTCCCAATTGGAATGCATTGAAACCCGTTTAATGCGTTCCAATGGGGAAAATACCTCGTCGTCCCATAGGGAAGCCATTTTACGAGTGCTGATCAGCTGTTAAAATGGTTGTCCTGCGAAGCATGGGTCCCGAAAACACAGGGAATCCATTTTGCAGAGCTGCCGATCAGCTGTAAAAATCGTCGTCTTGCGAACAAACGGTCCACAAAGCACGGACCAAATCACCGTCAAGTGAAAATCCCCCACTGGAATGACTGTTTTGCGAATCGCTATAGCAATCAAAAAACCTCATCATGCGGATTCGTCGTTTTACGAGGTCGTCGTCTAGCGAGGTACCACTGTACCATGTTTAGATAGATATATGAGTACAGCTCTAAGGTTGAAAAATTACTTTTGAAAAAGTAATTAGTGACAGTGATACATGGAATCACATCCCCAAAAGTAGTAGTTTCTGATGCAGTTATACTGTTTAAAAGTCTTTACCTTCTCATTTCTTAATAGAAACTAACCATCTTAACCGAAATATGTGGCAAGTGTAAGGGGGCTAGGATAGACTGAAGCTTCCTCTGCCAGCTAGCAAAATGGCCTCTGTGCCAGCAGAATCTTCTTCTGCTAGTCCATGTCAGAGGTCTGCCAACCAAGCAGCTGTAGTCCCAAATAATTTCCAACATCACCAAGGTGGAAGAGATTTGGATTCTACACAGCTACAGCTGCCTTAGATTAGCTTGCCCTTCAGCATCTTAGCTAATTAGGTTCAGGCTCTAAAATATTTAGTTATGGTTAGTTAAGTTTGCATATGCAAGTCTTCACATTCTCCATTATTTTGTTGACATGTAACATTCAGTTTTAGGTACAGAACAACATTTTACTTGCTTATGTTAAAAAACAGAAAATCATTTTATCCCCACCTCCCGCCCTGTTATATACTCATTGGCAATATATGGAAGTGTCAGACAGATGGAGATGTAGTTTCATTCTTGTTCACCTGATCAGTTTTTTCTAGGAATGACCTATTCTTGTCTTTTTGTGTGTGTGCTCAAGCACATAATTGTGTAAGAGGACTGCACAAGGATACAGCCACGGCTTGCTGCCCAGCAGTTACTGGTAGCTGGGTCGTTGGCTGCCTGTTCTGTGGCATCACTTTTTATTTGGAAAGTCACAGATTCTATTCTACAGAACACAACCTTGTGGAGAAGGGTAGAAGGTAAAAGCAGCTGAAGGGGAAGGAGTTTCAATGGGAAAGTGTTTGATATAGGAAGGTTTAAGCACTCTACCATCCACAAGGGACAAGGTAAAAGCTCAAGGCAACTGAAAGGCCAAGAAATCTGCCAGCACTAACATCTGGACCTCACTCTCCAGATCTACTGGAATGCCATGCTCCACAAGTACCACCCTGGACAGTTCAGAAGAGTACTGTGTTCACTGGAGTGAGAGTGGTTAGTAAAACAAAAATATCTCAAAGAATGTCTTCCATCAAAAAAGATGAAAAGAGCATGATCATTCACATAATGAGAATTATTATCATGTTTGAAAACAGTTACCTACAAGCCTATTTCTTCTAATAGTTTCAGAAATATAACAATACTTTCAGTTGACTGATTAGATTCTGTGTTTGTCTAGAATGCACTCAATCTACATATGCAGAATCCAACCTTGTAAAGATAAAATAGATTTCAAACTCACCGGCCATTGTCACGCCCTACTCCCCAGACTCGGATGCTTACGATGGGCTGAGAATGAAGAATACTGTGATCCATGGGGTCTACCAAATTTAGCATGTCATTCTCCAGGATAAGATACATGTCTTTTCCCTGATTAAAAATGGACAAAAACAGTCATCATTAAGGCAAGGTTTTCTATGACCTAAAAAAGTCAGAAATACACAAGCATTTATGACCTTAAAATCATTTAAACATGACTAATTAAGCAAAAAATATAACTTTAGAATTTTTATGAAATCGGCACCCAATTCTTAAATTTTTTTGCTTACACACACACACACACACACACACACACACAAACACACACACTAAATGGTTTATTCTTCTTCATTTCCAGTGCAGAAGTGCTAGTATTGAAGTACTGAAATGAACATTTGAGAGTAAAATGGTCTTAGCTGGGTTAGTTTTTGTCACCAGCAAAATTGCATTGAATGATCATGTGCTTTTTGAGGTTATCTGGAGAAAACTCTGGCTTGAAGTCATCAAATTTTGCTTCAAGTCCATTTAGAATGTTCCTTATTTTGCAAAGTGTTGAATAACTCAGATTAGATTGCAGCACTCTTTGCAGTTTATCACTATTTTTTTCAGCCACTTTCCACTTTGCTCACTTTAAATCAAACAGTTTGTTTCACAATTTTCATCACTATTTTTCATTCCTACAGTATGAAAGTGGGTGATTGGTCTTGATAATCCAATGAAGTTGGATTATATATATGCCAGGTTTCCAGCCAGAATTTCAGAAAAGGATCTTGCACAATCTTGACGGAGGAAGAGTCAAAACAGTCAAATTCTTTAACTATCCACTGCAAGTTGCATCCAGCCAAGTCCCCCAATGTGTCATGACAAGTTGGGGAGGGAGAGCCAAAGTAGGAGCAATTTCTTAGAACTTTTGTATTAGAATTGGAGCTTTATAAATATTTTTCCCCATCTGAAATTATCTACATCAGGATAGTTGCTTTGAATGTCTTCAGCCAATCTGTATAAACCATGTGTAAGACATGCAATATGGATCCTTTTTTGATAAAGCAGTTTAAGCCCCTTGGCTGCCTTAGTCATGTGCAGTGGCATCTGTTACAAAGAGGAGGATGTTCCCCCGTTTTTACATTATCCAGCCAGAGTAGTTTCACAGAATCATCAAGGAGCATACCGATAGTGGAACTGTTTACTTTTTGTAGTTTCACGTGTTAGAAGAAATACTTCACCAGGACTGTCACATTTCAGAGTGCCAATTATAATATTAGCTACATACTTTCTGTTTATATAATTTGTTTCATCTACTGAAACCCATCTTATTGGTGTCAAAAGTAGATCTTATATTTTCTAACACATCTTCATAGAAGACAGAAGTATAATTTTTCATGAGAAGAAGCTCTTTTGAAAAGGAGATGTTGCCTGTTCTTAGTAAAGGTAAATCTTGCAAAAAACAAAACAAAACACAACTTCTTATGTTTGGCGGCATCACAATGGTGCTGAATAGTAGAACACTTTGGGGCTGATACCTTAACTTCACACAATTAACAAAAGAAAAATATCTACAGAAAATCCACTTCCCAAACTCTTGAACAAAATGGCATAATTTTACACACACTTTAGGCATGTTGAAATCATCATGATGGTTGCTGATGACTAATATATAATGTTTATTACAAATTAAGCAGTAAATACAGCAGTAGGGTGTATGTAAAATAAGCTGACAAGTTCTATTCATATGTTCAGAAAAGAGATCCTTACTTTTCAAAGGTGAATGGCAAAGGGAGGGAACAGAAGCTTTTTAACATATTTTAATGGCTTTAAATCTCCAGATACTAATGGAAAAATAAGTTACAATAAAAGGTTAAGAAAAATGCACCTTTTCAAAAAGGTACAAAAATAGCAACTCAAAAGATCTATAAACTGAAGAACCATCCTTAGGGAAAAAATGCCTAAATAGTTTAGACTTCTTTATAGACGAGTGTGGGGAGTTGGTTAAGAAAGTTGATAAATTTGATACCAACTGAAGTTGGTAAATTTATGACTGATATTAGGTAAAAGATTTGGGTGTTTGATGGCTTCAAGAATAGGTAGACAAATTCATAGAAAAACAGAAATGACTAATCACTACAATGGCTATGTGGAACCTTGAAGTCCAGAGGTAGTAGTACTAAATACGTGAGACAAACAAGAAGGGCAGCTGGAAACAGAATGCTGGACTAGATTTACTCTTACTTTGACCCAACAGGGACACATATATGTTGTTATAATGGCCAGAGCACATATTATTCTTGTAACTGATGCCAACAAACAATGGCACCTCCATAAACCTCAAGTGGACTCTGATTCCAACCATCACTGCAGGTAGCCACAGTGAGAAAAGCATTGCCAAGCATTCATTTTGTACGGCAACTCTTGCAAGAAGAGAGCCACACTTCCAGCAAACTTACAGATTTCACTTTTCCTTGCCAGAAGACAAAAAGAAAAAGAAAGGAAAGGAAAGGAAGGAAGGACATAGCTTCTCTGGCTGTTTTATTTTCTTACCTTCTCTACTGGTGGCAACTCTCACCTGAATTAGGAAGACAGAAGAGCAGGAAAGAAAACAGCAATATGTCAAAACTGTGAGAAAGATATAGGTTTGAGACATTTCTTACCTCTCCCCAAATGCCAACAGTGTCTCGTATATCGTTTTTACAGTAAGAGAGCTGCCGAATGCAATTATTTACAGCAACACTGCTTTTTCCAGGAGCCAGATCTTCCTCTGCCATTTCTACCCATCCCAAAGAACGGACAGCAAAGCACTATAAAGTAATAAAAACTGCATGGTTACCAGTGGGTTTTGTTGCATTATACCCCCTCTCAGAGTTGCTAATGTTATTTTAACTCAAGTTTACACTGAAGGTATCAGATTAAATAATTTCATCACAAAAATTTTTGAAAAGGCACATGTTTTCTAATTTAGAGAAAATATGAGTGTGAGCTCTTAATTAAATGTATCTCTCAACATGATTATTGCTAGATGAGCATTTGTACATTACATTTTAAAGCCCTCATGGGTATTCTAACACACTGATTTTACATGCTCAGTACTCTACTAGAGGTAAGCCATTATGCAAGAAAGAACACGGCTACATATTCTGGTTTCAGGGAAGACCCTCAGCTTAAAGTTGAAAGGATCCCATCTCTGCAATCCAAGAATACCTCTGCTGTGTCTGCATTAATGGCCCAGTGGAGTCAAGTCTCATGGGCTCAAAGTCCTAGGGTTCTCTGAACTAGCAGAGACTATGACATCACTGATCGCTTTTGTCAGGCTTCCCTGTTCTTCTGAGTTTAGTTGCAGTTCAAAAAAGCAACCTTTGAAAGCTGCTTTGCAGTCAGAAAACTGAGCACTATGACATGCAGATGAGAACACCTTTATTTCACTTCTTTGCCACTGGATTGTGCAGAACAGAAAGGGCAGAAAACAAATACTCCAGACAAGTAACAGAGAAGCAGAAGTATGTATCAATGAGCCAACATTATGAGACATGCACTATAATATTTTACAATAGACAAAATCCTCTTGCAGAACTTTAAACCACACAAGTATGCTAAATGTCATCACCCAGTGCCAGCAATATTGAACTTAAATGGACTGAAAGCTTCCTATCCCCCTTGTTTCAGGTTTTAAGTCTCCCTAGGGCCTCCTTTTGCCCTGAGCCTTAGGTTGGGGGGAGAGCCTTTATTAACCAAAAGTCAATGCTGGAACCCTGACAGTGGAATTAGGATCACCAGCAACAATCTAGATGATGACATTATCTGGATGATGACATAATTCTGCTTAAATGGCATAAATTTATAGCAATACGATTTTGAAGAAACTAATCATAGCTCTTTACAGAGAAAGTCTTTTACACCAAAGGCATATGTTTCCTTTGTAGCTGTAACTAAAGCGAGAAATATACTAAATATATTATTAATAACTATGTTTGATTACATAAGCTACAATGACAAGAATCAAACTGAAGAAATATACCAGCATTAGGTCCATCAAATTCTAGTGAAAAATTGCCACTACCCTGTTTCCCCGAAAATAAGCCAAATTCTAGTGAAAAATCGCCACTACCCTGTTTCCCTGAAAATAAGACCTAACCTGAAAATAAACCCTAGTATTATTTTTCAGGATGGCCATAATAGAAACCCTACCCTTAAAATAAGCCCCAGCTAAGTGAAACCCTGCCCTCCACAGATGACATGACTGTATTTGAATAAATGTAGATTGTTGTACATGTGAAAAAATAAAACATCCCCTGAAAATAAGCCCCAATGCATTTTTGGAGCAAAAATTAATTTACGACCCTGTCTTATTTTGGGGGGAAATGATAGTTTAAAAAGAAGTGTAGGCATTTGCCATCATGTGCCAAGACTGGTGTGTAACACCAGATGCAAATGAGAAATGATAGTGTAGGCATTTGCCATCATGTGCGAAGACTGGTGTGTAACACCAGATGCAAATGTTGGCTTCTTAACTAGAGGCAATTTGCTGCTAAGATTTATGCTGACAGACTTACACTGGTAGGCGTGAGTGTTAAGATTCATGCCAATAAGACTGGGATAGTTATTCTTTTGTAGAGATGTACTGTTAGAACTTGGTCTGCAGCCAGGACAAAGGAAAGAACAATCAGTTTTTTAAAATATTTGTAATCAAAATGTTTTAAAAGCCAGTCTCCTTCAATTCACTCTTAACTCCTTGCTTTTTACTGTCTACACCTAGCAGTCTTCTGTAGCTTTCCCTTGTGTTACAAAATTTATACTCTTTAACCACCAAATAAATAAAAGAAGGAAAGCCATACAGAATTATTTAACTGGATTAAAATAGTCTTCCAGGCACCCTAATATGTACTTGGATCTTTGGAGCAAGGAAACAAAGGCAAAGGGGCTCAGAGTGGCACAAATTGCAATTTTGGGCTATTCTTGTCATTAGTGGTAAAATTATAATAAATGCTTTGTGGGCAGAAGGGGAAAGAACAAGTTATCTTACACACATAAACCATTATGGATAATGTAGAAATGATGTTTCTCTAGTCAGCTGCAGCAAGCCTAGCTACTAAAGGCACTCTGTCATAGGATGTATGCAGCAGGACATGACACGTGCAGCTGGCTTGAGAGCAGCCAGTCATGATTTCCCTCCAAGCACATATTAATCAGTCAAGTAAAGTGTGTGCTGCCGATATGAGAGAGCAAACAGAAAATGCCACTGGTTATCACAACAAGCAATCATATAAAAGGAGGTGCCGTATAGGATATACAGTGGTGCCTCACATTACGATTGCCCCGCATTATGACGAAACCACATTACGATCATGTTTTTGCGATCGCTTTTGCGATTGCAAAACGATGATCCAAATGGGCTTGTTTCGCTTTGCGATGATCAGTTCCCTGCTTCGGGAACCGATTCTTCGCAAAACAACGATTTTTCTACAGCTGATTGGCGGTTTCATAATGGTTGCCAGGTAAATAAAATGGCTCCCCGCTGCTTTCTGGGACAGATTCCCGAAAGACAGCCACCAAAAATGGCCGCCCTATGGAGGGTTTTCGCTGGACGGTGAGTTTCCAGCCCATTGGAACGCATTGAAGGGGTTTCAATGCATTTCAATGGGCTTTTTATTTTCGCATTACGATGTTTTCATTCTACAGCGATTTTGCTGGAACGAATTAATATCGTAATGCAAAGCACCACTGTATATGTACAATGTCAGGAACATTCTTTATTTTCAAAACCCATTGATTTCACAGATCACATCCATCGCCTTCTCATCATTGTATTCTAGACCCAAGAGGGCTGACACAATGAGCCTGTGCTAATTCACAGAAGGCAGGGATTGGCATTGCCTGGCTGCTCCTGACGGAGTGTTCAATGTTAGCAACAGCAATCTTAATGGCATCACGTTGCTGCTAAAGCCATGCAGCAGACCTTCAGCAAGGCACGACTGCAGATATGCACATCTCAAGAACCTGTGGACCTACAGAGGTGTCTGCACAGCCTAGTGAATCTATGTGTAGGGTGTCTTTATAGATATATAGATCACTAGATCACACGATAATGTTCAAAAGGACAGTCACTCTTGAGTGCCGTCACCACCACCAGCAGAAGCATTACCAAATAGATTTCTTGCAGATCCAGAGCTTCAACAGAGTACTCGTTCATCTGTTTTGGCAATACATTTATATATTGAGGCAGGGGGTGATTAAAACGCAGACTAAAGTAGCAGACACTGCTCATTCTGCAAGGCTATTTGCAAGTCACTTAAAAGCAAGGGTACATTCTTCAGTGCTGCTGCCCCCTTGTGACCAAATGGGAGCACTGCTACCAGAATCTACCACATATTACTAACACAGCAATTTTGGAAAGAGTTGTTCTGAGACCTTGCTTCATTTTCACTGATGTTCTGTCTACAGAAAAAAACATATAACAATCCTCAGACATATACAATCCAAAAACAAGGGTGGGTAATACATTTATTAGGCTATTAAAATCACACAAACAGAAGCTAGCTCCCACAACTTGATTATCAAATTCTGGCTCTAGACACTTCCACATATGGCACAGTATGCAGGAAGTATCTGCAGTGGGTAGATGGGGGGGGGGGAGAAGAGGTCATATAATTTTCAGCTTTATACTTTCAGAGTAGCATTTTAAATTTTAAACAGTTGCAGCATGCAGTTGAGATCTGATTATTAACTGAAATTAATTTGCAGTTCTTCAGCATTGCTGCTAGCAGCTTTCCTTCATAAAACGCAAGTCCTGCTTTCCTAGGACAGCAGCAGCTCTGTCAGTGACACAGAAGGAGACCCTTGGGATGAAGTAGTTAGCCAGTGGTGGTCTGACTGACTGCCACATCTTTGTCAGACACATATGAACAGGTCAACCAACAGCTTACAACTTCATCATCAGTACTGCAACACAGTATACCATAGATATACTATGGGATCTGAATAAGAATAGTTTTTTGGTTAGATTTTATTTTCAATGGCTTTTATGTACCTGCATCAAAGCTAGGGAAGTACAGTTCGGTGACACCACAGGCTCATATGTGCCAGTGGCCCTCTAATAATTTAGGGTCCAGGTCTTTATTCATAGGGTTTAGTTTCAGGGGCATGCAGATTACTTGAAGATAGTGCCCATGTGTGCCAGCTAAAAATGATTTACATGGTGAGCTATTGCAAACCTCATTTCATTTTTCTTCATTAACGTGATATACCATGTCCTTACTGCAAACTTCTGAGACCCAAGACCTTTCTTTCTATAAAACACCCATTATTGCCATCACCCATTATTTGTTCCATTAAGGAGTTGCGAGCTGTGTTTGTAGTAGCAGTTCCAGTTCCCTCAAAACATGTGGAATCTGGTGTTTGAAAAACAGACTCATAACTCAGCTGAGTTATTCCCTTCACTGGGCTGCCTATCTTTCTTTCCAGAGGAAGGCACAAGATGCCAAGAAGCCAGAAGCAGGCAGGAAACATAGAGAACAGAGGAAACACAAAGACAACATGGATTTTCCTCCATAGATGCAAACTGCAATTGGTAATGGTTTGTGTGAGAAAACGTAATTTTTTAATGTGCATCTGGATATGCTCAAGGCTAAAGACTGCTCAAAGTTACAATATTTTTATCTTTTTAATTATCTATGTTAGAGATTGTACTCCCTGCTTTTGGGTGTGCCTTTTCAGGCTATAAGCTCCCGTATTTTTGGACTGCAATACGATTTCTTGTCTTTAAATTTTATAGTTTGAACTGAAACATATTTTCTAACTTAAGTAT